TTTTATCGAGTGTGTGTGCTCGACAGATTTTCTTTCCTAATTATTATTATATATTATTTATTTCTGTTCAGTCTTGAGCTCTATGGGGAATGTTGCAATTTCAATACGCGTTCTACCGTATGGATTACAGTCTATAGTATTTTTATAGAAATATTTAGACAATATAAAACTAAATTCACACTTCGTTTATCACCTAACTTACAACAAAAATATATAATATACATATTAAAATAAATAATATAATAAAAATATTTAATATTTTTTTATATATTTATGTTTTTATAATACTTATTATTTAAAGGAAGATTATATAAAATAGATGGAAGAACATCTAAAAGAGTATAATTAATAATTACGAACAAACAATAAAAAATAAATTATTAAAAAAATTATTAATTATTATTTTTTTATTATTATTATTTAATTAATTATTAAAAAAAAGATTAAATAAGGCTATCTCCCAATATGCGGTCTACCATAAAATGGACGTGGTCTACCGTAATAATATATTTTAATATATTAAAAGTGTATAAAAATTTTAATTTATTAAGGATCCACAAAATTATCCACAGTGCATAATTTCATATCTCTAAGGAAAGCATCAAAAATATTATCTCCATTATATTTTTCCTCGGTCATTTCTTTGGTATAGTTTTACTTTACTGCCACATTTGCGACATTGTTTTGCATAACGGCCATAATAATCTTGCAGGTATTTGACAGTAGATTCTTCAGTTAAAAATTTTTTATAAAATTCTTAGTTAAAAACTATTTTTCAGCTCAAAATTTAAAAAAATTGTTTTACCACAAACGACACTAAACCAACTAACCCAATAACCTGTATTTTTACATGATAAAATATATATCATTATGAAAAATTAAGATAAAACATGAAAATTGGTGAATAATAAATAATAATAACCGAGGATTCCCAGCTATAGGTAGAACACATAACATTGGTAGACCGCATACTATATTTATATTTATAGTTACGTAGCACACAAAATGGAGGTAGACCGCATATTGGGAGATAGCCTTAAGTAATTTATACGACCATAAAAATTATATAGATAGAAAAAAATGTTTGTAAAGATTTGCTGGAGCCATGAGTATCCGAAAAGCGTATAACTTTTAGACTATATTCAGCACATGATTTAGACTGTGAAAGTGAATCATATAATAAATAATAAATCAATAAACTACCTAAATGTTATAATAATTGTCTATGACAAGCAGTGGTGTATAGAGTGGGGGGGAGTCTACGGACGGCGCGCACGCACACGCATGACATGTTACTGGAAATAATAACAAAATATTTAGTTGGCCGTTTAACGGACGAAAATATTACTTCACGGAAATAGTGATCACTCATTGTAAATACAATATATTTATAATTTTTTTTTTCAAATTGATAAATAACAACATTATACAGGCCGCATTGAACTCCGATTTTTTTAATTCCTATTTTAAATAGTGAAAAGAATATAGATAAAAAAAAAAGCTTAAATTTTACTTTTTTTAGAAATTCATTATAAATTTTAGGAATAAATATCAAAAAAACGGAGTTCAATGCGGCCTATAGAATGTTTTCTTCTATTTAAATATATAAAAAAAAAAAATCAAATTTGATTGATTTTACGGGGCAGGATCACTATTTTCGTTGAATGTATTTTTGAGGGTAAAACGACATTAGCACCGAGCGCCTTAATTAAAATATATATATATATATATATATTATTTATCGGTTCACATAAATATTTTAATAATAAATGTAAATATTGTAATAATTATACACAATTAATTCCAGCTGATGGTGGAGTTTCTTCATATTTGATCTAAATTGTATTATTAATATAGTTGACATTTTACATAAATGAACTCAAAGACACACGAAGAGATTGTATAATAATACACATTGCTTGGTTGCCATAAGTTTTCAAGTATATATTCATCAAATTTGTAACTATATACTTAATTATAACTAATAATGTAATATACCTATGAATAATAATAATAATAATAGTATTAACATTTATATTATAATATTGCGGAATTATATTTTTAATCATTCAAAATCGACTGATCCCAATTAAAAATCTTCACAATTCATTATTATACTACATTATCTAAGATTAGATGGTTTACGTTTTTTTAGAGTGCCGCAAAATGTTGATAAATGAATTACATTTCGATCGGGAAAAAAGAAAATATTTCATTTTTGGTATCTTGCCCCTCGTTTTTTTGTTTTGAATAATTCTAGAGAACAATAAAGTATAGTTTACGGTTATTTTTTATTGTTTAAGGATATGGAATACGAGTTTCTATTCCTCTTCAAGCCAAAAGTACCGAAAAACAGCAGAAAACTGATGATACGGATATTCATACCGATCAAAAGCTATCCAATACTACTTGCAGGATACGAAACCTTAACGCTAAAAGCAAAACATTTATACGAGCTTGCAGTACAAAATTGAAAACTAATTATTAAATATATATATATATATATATACAAACGTCGATTTTACGTTTATATAGGTCTATAAATATAAATGCCTCAATCAAATTTATCCCAAACGAGAGATTTCCTTAAATTTTCGACCTATGTTCTTACGAACAATTGAATACCAAAAACTATGGAAAAAATATACATAGCATTTTTTTTAAATTCGATAAAACTAATATTGACCTCATGATGGGAATTATTTTGATACTGATAAAGTTTACGAGTACATCGTCGTGATGAACGCGGTTCCAAAATAACTGTTATTGAATCCTTTTTGTCCACCATTCTTCTTAGGTTGAGTTGTCGACTCGTTTTCAACGTAAAAATAAGAGGATTTCAATACGAGAACGACGTTATAGAAAATTCTAAACATCCGTCATTTCCAATAGATTTAATTGGTTTTCATTTGAGTCCTGTTTACAACAGCATAATTCATGGTTATCGTTACACCGGCATACGTAACAAGGATATCGGTTGACGTTCTGTTAGATTGTCGGTGTAGGTACGTTTCAAATCCTTAGAAACACCTTAGAATACGTTATCATATTAAACTCTTCAGGTATGATAAAGATAGTAGTAATATGCTTCACATTGGTCGTCGATAAATTTTGCTCGGCCAGCTGTACATAGTTAACATAATGTGTAACATCGAACAATGGCGGAAAATTGTTAAAACGGAGTGTATTTACTGCTGTGCCAGGTGCAGTGTGCTGCTAAGCGAATAGGGAATTGCATTTGGTTCGAAGAATTTGAATTCGATTCATTCAAACACGTCGTGTTCATCATTACGTGGGACAGTAACCATAACAACGACGGCAATATTGTAGACCCATAAATGATATAACAACATAGTAATGGTAAACAATTGCTTCCACTGCAAGGATTTAATATTGTGACGATTTCCCATAGAATATCAATTACTTTTATTTTCTGAGAGTTAAAAAATTCAAATTCATCATTCACAGACCAATGAAACGCATAGGTTATCAGTAAAATCATTGGAGATATAAATATTGTACGTACAATAGTATAAAAACTTCATTAATAAGCTACATAAACTTTTAAATTTTTACCGTGGTACCCCATACGTTTTTTTCGAAAGCCTATTGCATTTAACTCGAAGTATTGAAAACGCGTCACCGAGTAATAATAATATATAATAATTATCTTCCGATGGTCTTAATAGTATTACCTTTAAATAAAACGAACACGCGGACGCGTCCCAAAACTAATTATTCTCTGCACAACCTTTAACGATAAATCGCTCCACAATTTCCTTACGTCTACTATTCAGATGACGTTGGACATAATTTAGGTACGATTATTATCACAATTTCTGCAAATAATAAGTGCATTTCAGTTGATGTTGTGCGGACACATTTTGAACGGTGATTCATCGGAAGCATGTAATCGTTGAAGGTTAAAAAGTCAATATTAATTATTAATATTGTTCCTATCACTTTCGGGATGAGTTTTAGCATTTTATCAAATACGTCTGCAACTCATTTCGTTACTGTTTAAGCAATTACCCTGTTAATACACGAAGAATCAATTAATAAATTATATGATTCGCTTCAGTATATTGTAAGATCATAAACATTTCTCCGTTATCGCGGGTTGTATGTAAATTCAATAAGCTACCAATAGACTAAGATTAAATATCACACAGTGAATAATATTTTAGTTTATACAAGCCTTAGGTACCACTGTTCTGATGTTTGATTTAAATTCTAGGTAGGTACCTAGTTAAAAATACTAATGCAAAATAAATAGCTAGTGATCTATTTACAACGTATATAACTACTTAATGGAAGCCTATGATTTGTATTAAGGGGCCTCTACACCATTTCAATTTTGACTGAAAACAACATTTTCTAACATTTCTGGTCATAAAAATTAGTTAAATTTACCCATAGCAAACTATATTATACATGCAACTACCTATACATTATGTAAAACACTCCAACGTTAGTAAACTGATATTTTAATTTTTATGCGGCAGTTTATAATAGAAAATAGTTTTATAAATATATATATAGAATTATGATTAGAATTCTGATAATTCTATTTACATTTTGAATTGGTACTACAATAAGAAAATCTAATCTTATCCCATAATATAAATGTATTAAAATAAAGTAAAATTAAATATAAGGATAGTTGTTTGAAAAGGAATGGTTGATTTTGGAGTATAAGACAGTACTTAATATTGAGCTGAATTTATTAATAGATTCTAAAATAATAATAATAATAATAATAATAAATTGTGTATACAAATAATAAATAATTTACATTAATTTAGGTACGAATGTATAATATATTTTATACATCTATATATATATTAATATATACGAATAAATAATATTAAGATCAATATTAAAAAAAAAAAAACAACAAAATAATAAACAAAAAATGGATAGGCGAGTTAAATTTTGTACAAATAAAAAAATAATAACTATAAAATATGTATTATTTTTAAGTTTAACTTGTGCACATAGAAATACTGAACCATTGAAAAGAAAAAATTTAAATAAATTACTATTTTATCAATGAATAGAAAGTATAATATCTGCCCGAGTAGTCTACACACGCCTAAGACGTTCAAATTCAGGATTTAAAAATGTTTCTTTAATATCCTAAAATACCCGTTGTCTACTCGTTTACTAACCGGCTTAATATTACATTGCACAGTTATAATTCAAAAAAATAAAATAAATTGTTGTAATTATTTCATAAATATTATTGGAGTATATTTCAAAGTGTTTATTGGTAATTTAATGCAATCATAGTAAAAATCACATGATTTTCGTACAACTTGTGTACAAAGAAATAAAAATATTATAATTCTAAACATACACAATCACAAAAATAATTGAACTGGTATAGACAATAAATTATTGAATACTTATACAATAATGTAAGGGTTCGTACAACAGTAGGGCTCAGTCATTTTATAAAAATTTATGAGAAGTTTTCAAACATTTTTATAATCAATATTTCAATATGGTGGGCAGGGGATGATTCAAGGGAAAAACATTAATTTGGAAGTTAGTTACATACTAAAATGGCAAAGTTGATGGCTTTTTACTGGTCATCATTTACACAACACTGTACTACTAATATAAGGTAATATATCACATTACTTTTTTCATCTCTTTATTTAATCTGTACAAACATAACACATAATATTAATCTTATACGTACAATGTATAGCGTGTATGTCAACAACGAAATGCTTGATATACAATTGATTAAATCGGTAAGCACCGTTTTTGTTCATCAGTCATTGTGAACTTTTTACAACATAACAATAATAATAATAATAAAAATAATAATAATTATCATCTAACGCTATGATGCAGTTTTTACCCAAGTGGCAGGCACCCATTGTGGCTCTCTTTCTAAACTGTTGATTTCATTTAATAACTGTTGGTACGCTCTTTCAGTATCGTTATTGATGATGATCATATCAAAGTAATGGCCAAATTTTTCTTCCATTTCTCTTGCCTTTTCAATGATTTCTTTTAGTTCTTCTTCCTATATAAGAGAAATATATTTATGTTATAATATTTAAATGGCTTATAATAAATTAACCGTTATTATATAGAAGTACATACTTTGTAAGGTTCACCGTTTTTCAGCCTCTTTTGACGCAGCTTTTCTAAAGGCGGAGGAGCCACAAAAACAACAAAGGGTTTTAAATCAGAATTCCTAAGGATTTTCAACGATTGTGGATGTAGGTTTAGAACACATATTTTACTGAAGTTAACTACTGATCGAATGGCATCTAATGATGTACCTGTAAGCAAATAAAAAATACCATTGAATACCGCACATTTTAAAACTAGTATTTTGTTATTTAACTACCATAATATGCTTTTTCGTATTCGCCATGTTCGACAAACTTCCTAGACAAAATATCAGATTCAAACTGAACCCTAGTAATGAAATGATAATCTTGACCATCAATTTCACCATCTTTTTTCGCTCGACTAGTATCTAAAAATTATACAATACATTTTGAAACCAATTTAATAAATTTGAAAAAGAATTTCTAAAATTATACATTTTACAGAAATACAATACAACAAATAATGAATACTAACGAGGAATGGCAGCAGCAAATCTATCCCGGTCTTCCATTAGTCTTTGTCTGAGTTCATGTCGGCCTATGTTAGGTGGACCAATTAACACAGTTGGCCTTTTATGATTTGCACGAGGATAGTACAAAGCCACTTCTTCATATGTTAGTATCTCTTCAGCTTCATACTCTGTAGAGTTAAAATTATTTATGACAGAAATTAATTTTAATAAACTAGAAAATAATTCCAAATTTACCATCAGAATTAGAAGAATAAATAGGATAACCACCGTCTTGATACAGCGACTTCTTTTTTCTTTTTTTCAGATTTTTTTTACCACAAAGGAACGTATTTTGTTTTTTGGGTTTATCTTTACCGGGCTTATCACCGGTTATAGTTTGTTTGAGAGCTTCACGTTGGTGTTGAAAAGATTTACTTGGTATTAGACCAGCTAATGTTTGATCTTCTTCTCCCTCTCTAAATGCTTGCCACCAGTTAGCATCCTCTTGAGATATTACATGTAAGATGTCGCCCTTTTGGAAACTGATTCCCAACTCTCTGCATGGAATGAAACCGTCATCTTCAGGATCATAATCGAAATGGGCCTTCATATGCATCTATAACATGAAAATTACAATATTAATAACAATAAATATATATTAAATAATTGTATTGACTTTTTAATTTTCTTAATAAGAAATTAGTTTAATAATATTAAAAAAAAAAAAAATGTATACTTTATGAATAAATATATCAATTAGGATATTTTAAGTAGAAGCAAGTTAAATAACATGAACTTAATAAAATAATAAAAATATTTTAATTTTCAAGGGTGAAGCATGTGAAAATGTATACATTTAAAAATAAAAAAAAAACACAAAAATGGGTGGCTGATATAGGATAATTCATCCAAACGATTTGAAAATAATGTACCATTAGTTTTAAAGTACATTAGTACATTAGCATAAGTACCTAGTTGTGTAACCTAGTGGATTAAATAGACTTTAACAACGAAAAAAATTATCATAATTTCTATATAATTCACATATAAGTTTATGTCTCAAGTCCCTGTTTCAAGTATAACAAATTTATTCTTGCTTCATTAGGAATTTAAAATGTATTACAAAAAGCAATGTGAATGAACTACCAACTTCCAAATAAATTTAATTCAAATAACTTACAATGAAATTTTCCCTATTTCCATTTGTGTTTTGGTAAGAAACCCTATTAGCACTCGGTACAATCATGAATGTCAAAGGACCAGTCATGACTGATAAGATATCACAAACATCGTTTATGGTCTTGCCACGCATTTCGACTCCGTTCACCTCCAACACTTCGTCGCCTTCATGGAGCAACCCACTTTTTTCAGCGGCACCACCTCTCACTATTCGCCCGATAATCACTGCATCACCATCATTTCGAACAGTAGCACCCTGTACGCCAAACATCAATTTTAGTAAACCGTTTAAAATACATAATAAATAATCATATTATTATATAATGACATACCAATGGCTCATTAGTTTTTTCGATATTTATAATAGTGATGTTAGGAGGATGTTGTTCCGTATCGTACATTGAAGGATCATTCACTGGCAACGTAACTGTTACTTCGGTGGTGGATTCGTCCTGCGGCAATACGTCTTGAGATATAGTATCGTGTGCCCACAGTACACCTTCAATTTCGTACTGAGATAACAGTTTAGCGAGTTCCGACGCTTCAGACAAAGCACTGTTTTGAATGCTTTCGAGGCACTATTACGAATATGTTTTAAGTATTTTAATCAACACTCAACAAATTACGGAAAAAAAACTTACGTCTCTGACCAAGTTCTGCGCTTCAAGAGTCACAGGCCTTTTAGTCGTAGTGGGAGGCCACAACTGCTGCACTTTGTTGTGAACAGACAGCACTCGGACGAATTCCGGGTTCAGGAGTAGACTTTGAATCACAGTTACGTCTGGATCAGACTTATTCCCGAGATAGATCCCGTTCTTTTTCAGCTGCAAATGTATTCTCTGCAGTGCAGCTATCAATTCGCCGTATCCTAGAAAAACAAAATCCAAACGTCTTACAACCGGTGCGGAATACGACTGAACAAAAGTCTAATTTTATAATATATGCCACGCCGACCGCTACGATGATAATGATGATGATAATAATAATATTATCGTCACGAGTGTAAGTGACAGGTTCTTATGCAGGGCGTGCTCCGCGTGGCGGTATAGAATATGACGTGACCTGAATGCCAAGCGACATCAGCATTCCATTATGCTGTTTCCGACCGGAACACAATGGGGATACCCCTCGTAGTTCCCCAGCATCGAAACCCACCTTACACTATTTTCTTTCTTCTGTTTGACGTGGCTCGCACGAATCGAAGAGAAGAGAAGGATAATGTAAAAACTTAACGCTGCACTCACCAACAACCCTGTATATCGGTTCGTAAGGATCTTGAGGTTCTTCTACAGTGATGGTGTTATCCTCGTCGTGTTCTGACGAAAACCCATCGTTTACGATTCCAGTTTCCAACGGCTCGTGTTCGAGTTCCCGGAGTTTTTTCGATCCCCTCACCGATCGGTTGAGAAATTCATTTTGTTGAGCGACCCTGTCCTCTTCTTCTCTTCGCTTTCGTAACGCGTCCTGCAACGTTATTTAATAATATTTATTATAATACATCCATGATCAATCGTAATATAAATAATGTTGGTATACCAATTCTGAAACCATTGTCCAATGGTTTTCTATTGGAAAATGCGAAATCATATCATGATCAATCAATCAATCATATAAAAATAGTCACCTACGTGTCATTCGGACATGTATAGGACATTACACTGAGGTCTGGCAAGTTAAAAAGCAATAAATCTGACGTTATGGATTTACGGTTCGGCGGACAACCGGAAAAAGCTGCATGGCGCATCCTATTGGGAGGAGTAATGCACGTTCGACGCAACGATATTTTCGATTTATTCTGTATGTTTTTTTGTTTTTTCAATGATTGGATGACCACAGAATATTACTGTCGGTGAAAATATAATGACAAAGTGCTATTAAAATTAGTCGTGGAAACTTTGGGTCGCACAAGCAGGTATCTTATAACGGACGAGCAGAGGTCAACGAGCGAAAGAAGTCTGCACGAATTTGATGTGAAAAAATGTATTTTTGTCTTTGTCCCGTTTTATTCATAGAGAAATAAAAATATAGTGTTCGTTATTGTTTTAAGACTTTCATGTTCATACTGCTCTGCACGTAATATTTTACACAAATATGTATTCCATAAGGATAGCTACATGTCTTTCATGCGGTGTAGTGATAAATTTTATAATTATTAATAGATAAATATTATCACACTCAATTTGATATTATTTACACTGTATAAGCCGTGATAGTTTGGCGTTACCCAATTGGTCACTAAAATTTATAAATGCTGTTAATTAAATTTAAGATTCAATTTAAAGATTACTCGAAAAGGTATAACTCGTCAACGATATAAAATAAACACGTTTGAATATTCTATTTTTAATGATATTTTACCTTGCCTTATTAAAAAATAATTATTATTTTTATACTGGCGTGTCGGTGGCTTACGAAATAACGTAAAGCACTGAATTTAAATAAAACTGCAATACATATTTAACGCTATCGTCATTACGCATACGTTTTCACTATTTGTTACCTCATAGAACACGCGACAGTTGCAGATAAGATTAGAATTAATGAAGTATTCTCTTATTCTCTCTACATTATTATGAGCACAAAACAATATAATTCAATCCGTTCGGTTTCAAATTGAATAGAAATCATTGTTCTGCCGCACACCTACATGGCGACGCATGGTAAGATTCTACTATTCCAAAAGTATTATTCTCTAATAGCTCATCTCGTAAAATTCGAATTCGTTAATACATAATTTATACTGAATTATTCGTTATTTCCAGAACAATAATTTTAATATACATTTTGAAGATAACTTAATTGATTTATACATTAATTAATCATTATTTAATTGCAATTAAGTTAATTTTGAAATTGATTGTATCGTAATGTAGTAAATAGGAATATTTATAGAATATTTTATTATATTACATAATTTTATATTTTTAGCATAATTACCAATCGTATGTAGTAAATAGTTTAAAATAGCTTAAATTAAGAGCACAACAGCTAATTGAATCAGTCATAAACTTACAACCAAACAGGAAATTTACTTTAAAATAAGAATAAATAAATATTTCAGAACCATAACAAGTTTTAAATCATAAAATAATAAATTAAAATTTTATAATTATAAATTATTGATTTTAGTCTTTTTCAATTTAACAACCATTCGGCTTTGAAACTTTACACTATACCTTTATTTAAAAATTGTTAGCTCAAATAAGTCTAAAATAAAAATTATAATTTTACTACTCAACAATGATAATTCAATTTCATCTTAAAACAAATGTAGCAAGTATGAAAGTAATTTTTAGCTTTAACTTTATGTGATATATAAATAGTATATTATTATTATTTATTATTTTAAGCTATATTTATATGATAATTATAATTATGATTACCACTGGATTCGAACATAGAATCTATTTTAAACTTTCATAATGTTGCATATTTGTATATTATTACTGACTTTAGCACGAAAACATTTGATTACAAACCAAGATTGAAAAAGCCGAACGTAAGAATAAAATTTGACTTTCTACAAAATGTAATATAAATTGTCCAAAGGCTAAGAAAACATCTTTAAATTCAACTGCGATAGTACAAAGTTCGTTTTAAAATATGAATTTCAAATTTTAAAATACAAAAAAAAAAGACACTAATAATAATTACCAATCCAATACGAGCCATTGACTGTTTAAGAAGGCGTGCACACGATCACTCGGATGTATGACAGAAACCATAATGAGTGAAAGCCCATTGAAATACTATTTATTTTGTTTTTATCTCTTTCAGTACGTGTAATCTCGAGTACTGGCAAAATTACATGTAACGACTACTATACTGCACGTAAATCATGGACTATTCGATGTTTTGTACACACACACACATACACATGCTATGTTTTTTGTTTAATGTTTATAACCGAGATGGTCAATAACACCAAGAGTGTCGTTTCTGAACGTTTTGAAAACACCACTTTCAAATACGATAGTAAAACTAAAAAAAAACTTTTAGTAATAAACAGTTCTAGTAAAAGTCCAAAAATCACTAGAATCTTATGACAACGCTTTCAAGATTTAGACGCACGTTTTACGTACAATTCGCTTCGCAGGAAATTGTTTACAAAATTATGTTGCTGTATACTATTATATTTACAACATCTGCTACGTAACGCGGAATGGATATATTTATTAGAATATACGCGTGTGAAAAAAATATTGGTCGTAAAAGGTGGACTTGTATGACTACACCTGCTACGCGAAACCCAACAACAGAGTCTCACCCATAATCGGTCCCTGTTCATGATACTGTTAAAATACCACCGAATCATCCGTATGAGTATTATCGTATCGCGATTACGTCCTTTGAATGAGTATACATAAATATATGTTCTAAATATAAGAGTAGGTACCCCGAATTCTCACGTAATAATAATAATAATAATAATATATAAGTAGAAAATATTTTTTTGAATCGCATTTGTACGGTTCGCGGGGTTGAAATTTTGAGCAATGGCTGCAAGAATGGAACAGTACGCATGTGTAAGTATGCACACGATTATACGTAAAGAAAAAATATTGGCTTTTTCTTTTTTACTACTTATTTTATGTTTAACAAAATGCATCTTCTTACATTTCACCTGCAACAACGATGCTTATTTCCGCAAGAATATTCTTTTTATTATTATTGAAATTACTGGATCGCAAAAAAACGGTAGAATTCGCAAATGACAAGACCTGGCTAGCTACCGAATGTATATAGAGTAACGTAATATTTTTCCCATGAAGAAATCTGATCAGTCGAATACCACCGATATTTACCCGTGCACAACAATATTACGTATTATGTGTCCGAGTGCACTGTGTGTACATAATATTATAATAGGAGTACGTCATCGACATTTTGTTCGGTCGACAGTTTGTACATTATTTTGTTTTATGAAAATCGAAACAATGCCGTGCAATGTAGTTCGTTGGCCGCGATGGTCACGTTATAATAATGATTCAATCCAGTCCGGTCAAGATTTTTCGGGACGTGGGCCGTTTATACGGGGTAGCGCGAACCGATGCGTCCGATCGCGCGGTATCATTTTTTCCCACGTTCAATTGATTCGTGAAACCTAATTATTTTTAATTTAACTATTAAGAATTATTTTTCGGGCTCGACTGATAATTAATATCGACCGCGAAATCATACACGGAGAACGGCAATAGTATTAAAATCATCGTTCCGTAAGCAGGGCCGTCCCTAAGATGAAAATCAAGGGGAATGAATAATATGAAAAATTCCGTATTCAATTTTTTTACTCAATATATGTAGTATAATTAACTATATGTTGTCATATTTTCACTTTTTAACATGTATATAAGTGTCAGCATCGCACATTCTTAAAATTGACAATTTAATTATATATATATATATATAATAATATTTTATATTGTATAATAAGTAGTTATATAAATTGTATTCGTGTATACACTGTATTACGAAATATGTAATATTTGTTTTCCGTAAGTAAAATTAGGTCCTTCTAAGCTATAATAAAACAAGTCCGACTGCCGACTGGTGTTTTCGTTGGTGGGGGGAAGGTGAGACACCCCCAAGACCCCCCTTCGAGACGGCCCTGTCCATAAGCCGGTTGCATCCGAAACATATTATTCATAAGAATAAAAAATAAATTACTTAAAATCATATATACCAAAATATTATACGAAAATAATGAATCGACGATTCCATCAATCGTGATTAAGATAACATCGGTTTTTATGAGGTGTAAAAAAAAATATTTCATTGTTCAAAATTCGTAAAGAGAAATAAATAATAATTAAAACGCAATCGTATATTATTAATTAATATAATACTTTTACTCGGCTATTTCATCAAATATTTTATAATTAGTCACGCATCGCTAATCATGTTCAATATTTACCTTTCGTTTTCGACACGTGCAAAAAATTATTTTATTCGAAAATCGTACACGTAGGTGGTAGCTACTAACAACAACAATTTACAATAAAATATGTACTTCCCGTGCCCAATTTGCACGGTGTACTGTAATACCTATAGACTTGAACACTGCTCGAAGGATATTTAATGCGTATACATATACTATATATATATATATATATATATATATATATATATGTATATATATTGTGTACATCAGTTGCCCTTGAACACAATTTTTATTTTTATAAAATATTGATGATCTTCAAAGGTAGTAAAAACACGTCAACATAATGCAACAATTATAATAGCCAACTGCATATTATTGTTTTCAGCAAGGACGATTATTGAGGTGGGGGGAGGACTATTACAATAATTGACAACAAAAAATTATGTACAACTGAAATCCGCAAGAAATACGCAGTATAGGTGTCGAAGAATGTATGGATCGAATGAGTGTGTTTACGATCATCATAATATATAATATCGTTTATAATACATCATAGCCCCCCCCCCCTTCACCGGTAACGGTTCGGTGTTGTAGATACACAGTGGAATGCGAAGGTCATGCGAGAGATACCTGTGCACGCAGTATACCATAATGTGTGTTGTTAAAGTATACATACGGGTGTGTGTGTATGTACGTACTGTATAATAGTATACACGGTGTTCCCGATGTTCCCGAAAAAAACTAAATAATAATAAATCTGCCCGAGTCATTCGTATCGTTCCGGAACAACCAATGCGAATTTTATAAGATATCACGAGGATACCACATATTATTATTATTCTCATTGTTAACATAGTATCTCATGGTCGAGGTAACTTGAATTAGTGCGCAAAATAAGAAAGAATGACACTAAAAATTAATTCGAAGACAATAATCAAAAAACCGAAGGTAATACGAGTGCACGCCATAATAAGATGAATATGCTGTATGTTGTCTGTTTCGTTTTTCCGGTGTGGATGTTTATTATTGAAACTACCTGAATTTTTAAAGCTCGACGAATGAAAAATAATGTGTACGTATTAATTTAATAGGGTGATTAAAATTGGACGTGGACTGGCGCGTTGGTGTGCGTCTGTTGCCAGTGCGTTAATTGCAATACTTGGTATTATATATTATTTTATTTTGATAATATTTATTATAAGGTTATAAAAAAAAAGTGCATATATTACTATCAAGAGCAATTACGTATGGTTTATAACAATTAATGAAACACTGCACTGCAACCGTCAATAGAACATGGTAAATTATTATGTGGGATATTATCTTGATAAATTGCACAACAAAAATTGCTCAACAATATAACATATATATATATATAACAATACTATTTCCTACACTTTGGAAATTGAGTCCATATTATACAATAGTACACATACATAATTCTGGAATTATTTGTTAAGAATTTAAATAAAATCTCGTCATGTTGAAATCCCATCAGGCTGAGATAACAAAAGGGGTGGTATTTTAGTCCTTAGAAATTGAAACCCCCCGTTAATACATGTCATCGCCTCATTTGTATTTGAGTGGTTCGTAACACAAGTGGTTGTGATATTTACCTGGTACTTCTTAATGCTTTGCATCTGCTCCTTAGTGGGCTCCGTCGACGATATGGTGACTATCGTGTTGTTGTTGATGCTAGCCTGTTGAAGCTGCTGTTTGATCACATCAGACCGAGGTGGCGGAGGTGGCGGAGCCGATTGTCTCTCCGATACCACCGAACCATTCTGCAAGAAAATATTCATCCATAATTAATAAAATGTTCATTAATCAATAATTATATATAATGAGTAAACTATACAAAACGTGAGTACAACTAATGAAATAAATCAGACGAGGAAATAAATAAATGATAAGAAAGAAAACGCGAAATCGAGAAAGTGATATTTGTAGGAGTTCTGCAATCGAACACCATTATGAACGGGACTAATGGTCATTGTAACCTATGGGGTTTGACCTATAGAAATCGATCTGGAGAAAGGCACGTTTAAGTATAAATAGGCTGTGTGTGCTTACATACATCCATACAACATCTTATAAACAATATTACGTTTCGTATCAATGTTCAAGTGCCTACTTATTGTGAATTTCATAAATATAAATAATTATAATAATATATAATAATATAAAATAATAATATTTATGGACTCGTTTTATACTAATCATAGCCAGGGCTAGCGATAATTTTTGAGGATCCCGTGGCTGATCGGTTCCAGGTCCCTTTACACTTGTTTAGTCAAGATATACATACTTTAGTTCAATAAAAATATTCATATAAATATATATAAATTTGCATCTTATACTAAGGCGAATGAGAATATAAAATAATTTTTTTTTAAAAAGCATAGACGATGGGCCCTCTTGGAGATACGGGCCCCGGGGCTTTAGCCCTCACTGTTCCACCCTCTCACCGGTCCTGATCATACCTAAGTGATATATGGTATATTTCATCTAAGTCAAGACAAATATGATTAGTTTTATCGTTATTTTTTAAGTGGGAATAATATAATAGCATCACGAGATTGTTTTGAGAAATTCTATATAATTTAATAATATATTATTTACAGTCATTGTGTGATACTTGAATAAAATACGTTTAACAACAATCGTGGAATTTTTCGTGTCTACGAAAATAAAATACATACATCAAATTCTAAATTTATTTAAGATAATAACACTGAATCATTATTATTATACATATTGGAATAATCTGACTCATTAAGTTTTAACAAAATCACATAAACAGATGCAAAGGTAGATGAAAAACTAAATAATAAATATTAAAGAATAAAATAATGTGAAAATATAATAAAAGTTTTATTCTTATGATGACTATTAAAATAATAACTTTTAAATGTACGTTTTAATTAAATATTTCATACATATTTCATTTAAGTTACAAATGAGATTATTAATTATTTTATCAACATGTCTTTAAACAGAAATTCTTTTTAATTTAACTATAATTAAATATTCCTGCTTAAAATTACGGATTTAATAAACTATTAAATTATATTACATTCCACAGTTATATAATGAATAACAATTTAAATGTAAAGGTAAATTGCGTAATTTTTTTTGAAAATCAATTCACTAATTATTTGCCAAAAAAAAAAAAAAAACTTATATAATTTTAAATTTTCATAAAATTTTTAAATAAAAATATAATAATATTTTTTTAAGCATTTTAACAAATTTTAAAAATTGAAATTAAATGTTATTTATAAAAAAATATGGAAAATTAATCAACTTTGACATTCAATACAAGATCCAAAATATGTTAACCATATTTATTGTTAAAATTACAACAATTATACGAGATACAAAAGTAATAATCGGTTTCTAGAACTATCCAAAGTTAAGTATAATATACAAAAAGGTTGTACCCATTGAGAATTTAATTATAGCAACGAGTTTTTTGTAATTTTCTAGAAAACTACAAAGAATTTTTAAAAATTGAACTTTCTAATCCTTCTAACCGAAAAAATTTTTGAGCTTGCTACGATTAAAAAATGACTGTATAAATTAAACATGTTTAATTTTTTCTAAAAATCTTAATAAAAAGTACATTAATGACACTATACATTATTTTAGCAAATTAAAAAAAAATGAACACAGTAACTTAATATTGATTGATAATGGTTTCAATAATTTAATTATTATCAAAAAAGGTAAAAAAAATTAATATCTCAATAGTTTAAAATAAAAAGTCTTATAATGTAATTAAAATAATTTTACTTATTTAATGTTTAACTCTCGCTTTACTGTAATGTACGAACAAAAGCAAATTAAAAAAAAAAAAATTTAACTGAAATTAATGTTCTAGAACGTGATGATAATATTCCTTATTAAACTACTTGTAATTATGAAAATATGATGGAATGAATAGAACAACTTAACTCAATAGAACCCTTTAATGTTATTTTAATCATTTACTTTTAAATTATATAAGGTTATAGTATTTTAGACTGTATAATGATTTTTAAAAAAAAAAAACGCATAGTAAACATCAACTAAATGTTTTTTGTTTATTAATCTTCGACTACTTTTTTATTTATGATATATTTTCGTGATTATTGCGATACCTATACAGATTACGCTGTGGATAGTACCTATCCTGGTTAGGAACATGATAAGGTTTAGGGTTTTAGTGTATTTATGACATGGTTTACACGTCACCAGCCGATAAAATTCCTGAATATGCTTGATAAATCCGTGTATATAAACAGGTAAGGGAGACTCCTTGAACCATTTAGAATAATATTAAAACATAATTATTATGCAAACTTTTTATTTCATAGACATTGCTCGACTTGAGGGGGAAGTAGGGGACGGGGTACCCCAACTAATTTTTAGAAATTGTAGTATCCCCCTACTGTTTTGTTTTCATAAAATTCCAGAACATGACTTATTAAAAAGAAATTAAATTCATAGACTATAGAGTTCAAGTAAAAAAACAAAAATTTTGCATTTTCTTAAAATGATCTTGAATAATTGTATATATGTTATGAAGGTTTTTAATGCATAATTTTCCTAACCCAATTTAAAATTCATTGAAAAATAATGATCTAAATCAATAATCTGATTCGTGAAATGATTTAAATTTCATCTGATGAATTTTGATTGTAATTTTTTTGTTAAGTAGACAATTTCTACAAAAATTTAAAAGATTTCAAGATTTTTGAAGTACAAAGACATTTTTTTTTAACCTATATTATAATAATTGTTTTGACTGACTATAAGTACGAAATGACACATAACTTCTTAAAAGAGAATCAATTTCCAAATATGCCATTCTATGTTCTTTGAAACACAAAAAAAAAAAAAAACGTTTTTTTTTTCACCGAAGTCCGTCGCGCAGAGGTAAATTTTACCATTTGTATACCGTTTGTCGAAACGAGAAAAATTTTTTCGTTTTTACCACTTTAACCCATGACATGTCTAACGGACGGCTAACGCAACATGTCTGACACAGTTTACTGCTAGGTATCACATTATCTAATGGGTACGTTTTCCTTAATACGTCAACAACTTTATAGCTGCCGGCAACCGCTAGGGCAGCACAGTCGAGGAGCAGTATAACCACAGCCGCTCATGCGTTCGTTTTTATTTTTTCATGTTAAAAGTACTATTTATTTTAAATGAGGATGAAAAACTTGTCAAAATGGTGGCAAAATTCAATTATTTGTACAATCTGGCTAGTCCACTCTATAAAAACCAAATATTCAAAGATAATGCTTGTAAAGAGATATTCATCATGTATTAAATGACAATTAATTAGTATTTCAAAAAATCCTCATTCTGGTCTTGGCATAAATAAGGGATGTTCATTTGTATTCTCCTGATTTACTAATTGTTCTAAAATAAGTTCTTCTTCTTCGAATTAACCAAAAAGAAGGTATGACAATAAGTCACATTCACTCATTATGAATTTTGATTTAATTTTAATTTTAATTCGAAATTCTAAGTTCTTAGTTTAAATTTCTAAATTCGTTGTTACCTCCCAGTGACTGCATACGACTGACGTATCATAGGAAACACACTGTCATGCGTCAGGTGCAAGCGTAAGACGCGTTGTTTCAGCCATCTGCGTCTGACGCATCGTAGGAATCGCCACCTACCTTTAGACGTTTAGTAGTTACGCTGTACACCGCATGGATCAGCGAAATTCCTTTAAAATACTGTTGAATTGATATTTTTTTGGTTCGCGCACACACTTCTATGTGGATATGATTTTCAAATAATACATCGTTGATGAATAATGATATCTAAGTACAAGTATAATACGCGTCGTAGAGAAAATACTCGTTTGAGATTAGTAATATCTCAAGTGACTATAAGTACGTATATAACATTAGAAATTGCAATTTTTGCTTATTTTTTTTTTTTTGCTATCAAGATTTTCAGAAAAATAAGGAATGTAATCTATCAAACGAATACATTGTTTTTCGATCACAACCACATATTTAGATTTTCATTAGACTTTTACATAGAAGACAAAATTATCATGGTCAAACCGTATACACACGGTGTGACAGAAGTGATATTACGCTTTCAACCGACACCTTTATATTGTAAATGGATCAACAGTTCCCCGGTGAAAATCTAAGACAACTCGTCCAACCATAACCATGGTCGTTACGAAATGTATTCGAACCGAATGAAAATAATTGAGATCCAAGATACAATAATATGTTCTACGGCACGTAATTATAAGATTACCGGATTTTTTTCTACGTTTTGATATGTAGATTCATTTTTGATTATTCGGCTGATTTTTATTTTATTTTTTTCAACGGTTCGAGAGAGGCAATCAATATTTCTACGCGTGTTCTCTATACCTGTGTTCCGGTGTTGCGATTCGCTCTGGACGGCGGAGGGTATCTTGGCGGCGTCTTTTTGCGCGCAATAAAAGAATCCGGCACGTCGACGGCCCTCTCCCGGTGAGGCCCGTTGTCCAGCGAAGTCATCATGACCATCGTGTCCAGCGTTTCGCCTGTCACGTCGTCGACGGCTCGCTTTTTTTCCAGCGTACCGATTTCGCTACCCACGCGAACCAATCCGCTGCCACTTCTGCGACGAGACCTGCGGAAAACATATAAAATCCCGATAACAATATTATAACATAATGGTAATAATAATAATAATGATGATAATGTAACATTAAACGCATGTACGTCCAAAATTATGATAATCATAGTGATAACAAATCAAAATCAGAACAATAGTGATGACAATTGTCATTAATGATAGTATTACTGAAAAACGGTGTCAACAGTAAGTCAGGAAAGTCCGACAATGAGTAGAGAATCATTTACGTTATCAAACAAATTTAACTCGTAGGAAATGTCGAACCAATTTTTTCTTCTACAGTTTTACTCGTTTCAAGCGAAAAATAATCGTAGCCAACTCATTAAGACTCGTACAAATTCACTACGATTTGCTAACAGTGACAGATTGCTAAAATTAATGATTATTAATATTCAAGGACCTTTTAATTTTGTACTTACGATCGGGCTTGTAAAGACAATAATTTTCCCCTGGTAGAAAACGGTCTGATCGGAAAACGTTAGGGATATATCCGCATATATTTTACATTAATTTCGACTTTAGAAACATTGCGCAATCACTTTTTAGGTTCGTTTTAATTTTCACACTATTAAACAATTATATACAATTTTCTTTTATTTGATTGTGATTTTCATTAGATAATGTCAGTTGATTACACAGGACTGTGCATACGTGTTTAGCCTTCAAATGCGAAACAAAAAAATAGTTCAATCGGACTTTCATGCATGTTTCCTGGTGTCTTACGATGTTGCATTTATAACTACTACAATGAAATTTTGTTTAAATATAATTATCGTTTTAAGTATACACGCGTATGCGCAGCAACAAACGGAAGCATAGCCTTTAAAAAATAATTTATGAGAAAATAAAAAAAACCATTTTTATACTGGGGTACTTAACTTATATTATATTAAAATCGTTCCATGTTTAAAGCATTCAATATCGATAAGGGTTGTTTTCCCGGTTGGTTATTTAAAATATGTATGCGTCATAATATATCGGCTAAACTTTGAAAATCCAATTGTGCTTTTGGTTGCCTCCGTCTTAACTATTTCAGGCGTATAAAAATCGGATTATTGTTTTAGACAAGGCGATCGTAAAAAAATACATTTTCCTTGAAACAACTCCGTGAACAAAAATAATTGGGCGTATCGGTAAACTTTGAAGAAAAAAATTCTATGTACAACCATAACATGACCAACAGACTAATGTTATATTTATGAAAATCTAGATTTTATCGTTTTAGTTACGCTTGATAAGTGAATGCGTATGTGTGTGTGCATATACAACGGAAAATATAGTTGAACAACAGAGTTTAAAACGCGACTGTAATATACCGCTAAATCCCTCAAGCAGAAACCATATGAAATTAAATGAAACATATCAATCAATCATTATAAATCTAAGATGGCTTATAATAACATGCTACCATAGCACGTCATTATAACATATAGAACTGTTATGATATTTTTCTATTAATAATACGTATACTTATATTTAATACAGTTTTAACTAGGTTGTAAATTTAGTATTTTCAAATAAAAATTTCAACTAACTTATTATTTGCCTTTATAAATGTTTACATCCTAAGATCAGAGTTTAACATATTATTCATATGATAATATTCTACAATTTATTATTATATAAAATTATTTGATTCTTATTCTAAAACTGAATTATTTTAAAAGAAAAAAAGTTATATGCATATTATTAAACATATTTCTAGTTAATTAAATTAATTTTTTAAAAAAATTAAACGATCGACTGTGTAATATCTTTGCTTATTATAATTTATCTCACTATATGGAATACTAATATTTTCACTGCGACAATTCAATGGAATAGAGAAATTATATTAGACCAAATAATAATAAACCTAGTAAAATAAGTGAAAAAGAACATATTTGTATAGACATCTAAATAAATATTTTATATAAACAGTATAATAAAAAATAGTTCATTCAATAATTTTTCAAATTAATTATAAAACTTTATTTATGTAGACAAGGGCTGGAAAAAAAATCTGAGTTTTAAATTATAACACATTCGTTTTACTTAGTACGATTCAATCTGCTCAAATGTATAACAGGACTATATACTACTGTATCAATAACGTTAATTAATTTCAACTTTACATAATATAATCAAACGAAAACTTATAAACTCGTAAAAGTATAAAATATTTTGGTTTATAATAAACATGAGCATAAGATACCAGATGTACTTTGAACATAGTTTTCAAAATCAAATGATAAAATATTTCGTTTTACATTGTGTTTAAATGTAATATTAAAATAACTCTTTACAATATTTGTCAAACGTTGCTGCATTCGTATACTCATGTTATGTTTAAATTAAATAATGGCATGTAATCATGTACTCGTAAATCTATAAATTGTACTCGACATCGTTTTTTCCGATACTTCACTATTATTCAATACTACATAGGTACTTACTACTTATTTTAGTACTACTTTATAATGTACAAGTGCAAATTTATAGGAATAACTAGTTATTACATGTACTTCAAACTCGACATCCATCCACAACATTAAAGTAATAATAAGTAAGAAACCCTAAAGTTTTGAGAAAACCAAAATCAATCATGGAAAGTCTTAAGGGACTTCAATTGTTGACTTTTAACTTTTATAAAGATAAAAAGGACAAACATAATTAGTAATTCCAATAACGAGGGACCAAATTAGATTATTTATAATTATATATTCTATGACTTAACCTTATTTATTCCCTTAAAAATTATACAGTACAAATATTTTTATGAATCAAATTATCGAAACTGAATAGTCACTGTACAACAACCATACTAAAGGAATTTAATTGATAATAGTTATGAATTTATGATAAAAACATTTTTCAAATACATGTAATTATAAATAATATTGTTATTTTAAACCCTTCAAAATATTTGTTTTTAAAATTAGCAATTGGTTGATTTCATAGTATCTTATCATCATATGATTTTTATTTTCAAAAACTGAAAAAATGTATAGTTACAGCAAATAATGCGTTGCTTGATATAATTTTCCGGTACTTTGACCCCTTCTTTGTAATTTACAAGACAATATAAAACCGATTTGTATTATTGAAGAAGCGAAACGAATTACATCTACATGCAAAAATGTTCTTTTGTCTGTACACGCATGTGATGAGATTAGGTATACTTATCGAATCTTAATACATTATGGACAGCATCAGATAATAATTCCCAAAAACAATATTCTGTAATGCCTAAAATATACTGCATTTTCATTCATATAATTTAATAGAGTATTGAATATTGTGTTTAGTTTTTGTTTTCTTTAGGTAATTTACAAATATAATATGATCAAGCAAAATTAATTGTTCAATATTTCACGAAGTACAAATAATATATGTATAACAATATAGTTAGCCAATGTAAACCCTACTAGAATATATTAAGAGCTACCATTTCGTTTATGAACTTTTTTTCACGTATTACATAATATTAAATATATTGATTAATATAATACTGTAATATCATCTAAAACATATTCAAGAGTATTATAGTACATGCAAATACTAACTTGTTTCATTTTTAAGTGCATACTGTAGTTTAAGTATCAACTGCCGCTACACACCAAATAACATAATATTTTATAATATACAAATAATATTACATACAGTGAAAATATATAATTTTAGGTAAATAAATAAAATACAAACGATGGTTATTTTTTCCGCTACCCACCACACATTTTGTCTAATATTAAATGTATAAGTGTGATGTTTGCTCTTTTATTTTTATTACAGTTTTGTATTAATTATTATACTTTATCGATAAATTATGATACACACGTCAAACACACAAAACATAAAACAGATTAAATATAAATACCAATACATTATGAGTAAAATATACTAAATTAAATTGAAAAAGACGTTCGTCAAAAAATTCTTACACAAGAACAAATATTGCTACAAAAATGTATTATTTATAATACTAGACTAGAATAGTTTAATGTATTTAGAAACATTCACAAACTTAACAATAATTAAACATTTTTTAATCAAAATATAATATAATAATTGATAGCATGCTTTCTCTGTCCATACACAACATGCACATTAAATTTTAGTGATTGATAGCCTAACTTTTTAAAAGGAACTTTGGGGAACAAATCCATAACCATGACTCCGTAGTATAGTAGAGAGGTCAATTATACTAGGGAGCCTCAACAATAGTAGGGTTTTAGTAGGGTAACAGTGGGAAGAACCAGAAAAAATATCCACTTAAGTGCGGGCGAACGATCTCCAACAGTGGAAAATTATTAGGTACAGGAAAATGGACTTCGGAACAAAATAGCAATTACGGCTACCTATCCAACCATATAGTACCCGCATATCGTTTGATGAGCGAAATTTTGTAGACTCTCACATTTAACGTTACAATTGTCAATAGCAATACCGCTACGTTAGTAATGTTAGATTTAAATGTCAAATAAATATATTTTGCCTGAAATACTCTGTGGTATAATTTTAACGGAATAAATCCAAAACGGACTGTATTGGAAACCGAAACACATCATTACATTATGCATAAAAACGCCGGTATCCACATGTTTTGGCTGCATCCGAATTGGGTCCCGAATTATTTTAGGTACTACACTAGTTCTTGAATATTTTTTGGTGAGTACTATATTATACTAACATTTTCCTTCCCATTTTAATAGACTTAGGACTGTCTATGCTCTATTTAGATCACAGGACCACATTTTTTTAAAATTCTATAATTTATATAATAAAATATAGTATTATTAAGTAATAAAAGTATTACAAATAAAATATTAGTAATATTTTTAATATTTTTACCAACGCAATTCTAATAACTTATATTTGAATGAAAAAGAAACAAAAAAAAAAAAACTATAAAAAACATTTTTAACCATACCTATGGTCTAAATAGATTATAGACAGTCCTAAATCTGTTAAAATGGGAAGAAAAATGTTATTATTATGTAGTACTTACCAAAAAT